CTTACATTGGTAAATTTGAAAAGTAAATAAATTTCTTTGTGTGAAAATTTATTTTTCTTCCCTCTATGCCTTCTCTCTGTACTTGATTGTCTTGTGTATAATTTTTATATTGTAGTATTTATCGACATCAATAGTACCCAAATTCATATTTTGTGGTGTTTGGTTAACATTTTTTTTCATAAAAGACATTTTCCTACTTTTGGTCACGTGATCATATTTTCTTCAAAATCAAGAAAAAAATTCTTTAAGGGAAATATGATTTTATATTTCAGGAATGCACCCTCTCTTTCTCTTTCTTATATATCCCCTCTCTCTCTCATCCACCCATCAATAAAAAGTTAACAAGTATAATATTTTTTAGGTTGAAAATTAAATCAATTAAATATATTTAATCAGTAATTTTCATACAAATAAGTTTTAGACAATTCAATTGCCTAAAATTTTTTTCATACAAATTACATGCTCGCAATCAGACACACACTAATAGAATTTTCCTTGTAGTAAATAAAGGGTTTCCTAGTCAATTTGGAAGACAATCGCGTGTAACTAGGGATAAGAATGACTATGTATATCAATATTATTCCAATAGTAAATAATTCTATAGTAATTGACAATATTGAGCTTTATGTATTTACCAATTAAATAAAAAGAAAAAAAATTGATTTTATCTATCAAAGAAATCACATCGTTGTGTCTCATCCAAAATCCAATTTAAATGAAATATTAATAAATGACAAATTTTTTAAACGTCAATATCTTAGGCTTAACTTATCTGTATTTACTTTTGGGAACAATACATAAACCAAGTTTTCAAAATTAAGGATTAAGGTTTTAAATTTCAAAAATCAGGTTTTCATTAAATTTTATTTATGAATTAATTAATTAATTATATATATATTTTATTAATAAATATATAAATGTCACAGATCTATGCAATTTGATCACAATTCAACAATTTTAAGGTCACAACTCAAAAATTTTATAGGTCACAGTTCGTTCATCGGTCACAAATTAAAAATTTAAAAGTTACAATTTATTCATCGATCACAAAATTTATAAGTCACACAACTTATTTTATGGTCACAAAACATCAAATTATAGGTCACATATTACTTTTATCGGTCATAAATTAATAAATCTGTAGGCCACACAGTATTTATTAGTTACAATTTATTCTTTATTGGTCACACACCAACCAATTTATTGGTTACAATCAACAAATCATTTGTGACTACCACCAACAAAACACCATCGTCGTCTCCGCAGCGAACACCAACCAACACCAACAAACCACCATATATGGTCACAAAATATCAAATTATAGGTCACATATTACTTTTATCTGTCACAAATTAATAAATTTATAGGCCACACAGTATTTATTGGTCACAATTTATTCTTTATTGGTCACACACCAACCAATTTATTTGTCACAATCAACAAATCATTTGTGACCACCACCAATACAACACCACCGTCGCCTCCGCCGCCAATACCACCACCACAGATGCGTCAACACCAACACCATAGAAACCACCACCTCCGCCACTACCACCAACACTATCATCACATTCACCACCAATTCACAACCACAACCACAACCACCGTCTCCACCATCTCCATCATAGCCACCACCACAACTACCATCTCATCTACCTTCATCTCAACCACACCGCAACCACCAATCCCCTAAAAAAATCCCCAAATCGTGATACAGCACCACGACCACCACCACCACGAACATTACCACCATCGCTGCCACCACCAACGACCGCCAAAATTAGTACCACCACAGCTTCCACCAACGACCGCAAACACAACCAAAATACCCATACATGAAATGGCCGCCTGTGATACAGATCTACAACGTCGATTTACAATAATCTATAGCTTGATCTCTGCCTGCCCATGAACAATAGATCTTTGCAATAATCTGTAGCTTGATCTCTGCAATAATCTGATTTATCTCTGCCTGCCCACCATCACTTTTCTTCTCCGGCCCGATATGTAGCACCAGCCACTTGTCCATCGTCGCCCACAGATAAAATGGCCACCCGTGACCATAGATCTACAGCCTTGTACAAGATGTGTAGCTGCCACGTGTGGCCATCATGAGTGAACGCCGCACAGAGAAAAACCGTTGTTGAGTGGCAGCGTAGTGGGGGTAAAGAGAGACTTCGCTGCGGATCAAGTAGGGGCTCACGACGCGCGAGGTGGTGCCATTGGTGGTGGTGGTGCCGACGGCAGGGATAGAGAGAGAGAGAGGAGAGAGAAAATGGGTGGGTCGGTATGGGGAGAGGGAGAGAGGGAAAGAAAATGAAATAATTAGGGGCTGTTCTCTTTATGTTTTAATTTTGTGTTTTAAATTCATTTTGTATTTTGTATTTTGAGTGCGTGTTTTCAAATTGCTGAAAATGCGTCCTTTTTGTTATTCTGAAAAATTGTTTCTCAAAACATAAAAATGGAAAGCGCGNAATGGAAAACGCGTTTACTTTGAAATTTTGAGAATTTTTTTTAATAATATTTTATTCAAGAAATCTGATTATTCAATAAGTTTTAATAGTTTAATGTTAATATAGTATTAAATAACATATAAATTTTGAAATTGGTGAATCTTAAAATATTTTTTTCTAGATATAAAAAACACAACCTAAATGAACAAACAACATTTATCACTCGTTTAAATCATTTGTGTATCGTGTTGTTGGAATGCTGAAATCTATCACCAATAATACTATCGTGTAGTGTCGAATTTGAATCTAACTTGAAATAAAAAACGACTATCCAACTAACCGACCCAAATCCTTCTATGAAAATTGAAACATCCCAACCCGGGTCAGTTTGGAACGGTTCAATTTCTTAAATCGAGAAAAAAGAAATATGGAGAAAATCGATGTAGAACAAAAAGAGAGACACAAATAAAGTTCGCAATATGGAGAAAATCACACGTATCAATACAAGAACAGGGAGAAAAATGGAGAGCTGAAAAATCATGCAAAAATTGATTGAAAGGTAAACAACAAACAACTGAAATTGATTCAAATAACCCACTATAAAAAATTGCCAAATCATCATATTTATATTGAAAATAGCACCAATGTGCAATAATTGTTATATATAGGCCCATACTAGTTTACTTGGCCAATTCCAGCAACAAAAAACTGCCTAAAAATAAGTCATAGTTTCATGCATGTCCAAGCATATATGTGCCGCAAACCCAACCAACCTAACAACCCTTCAAGTTTGAGACTTTAACATAAACAAGATAACTTTTCAAGTTTAGCACAAAAAATGGAGTTCATAACTTCAATTGCATGCCAAAAACATAACTAACATCTTCTCCTGAGATGAGACAGTATCACTCCTTCGTCTTGGTACAAATGCAACTGCCCCTCTAACAACCCTCCTCCTTGGCATTCTCTGCAGTCTCTATCTCTTGAAAATCCTCCACCATGGTCAACCATGGTGCTCTCAACCACTACATGAACCCCCTTGAACAGCTTGTTACAATATCAAGAGTTGGTCATTCCATATTGAAGACTGCATTGAAGGTAGTTTACGCCTTGCTTGTGTGAGTTAGATTTTGCTCTTTGAGGAACAGGCTTTGCCTATGAATGAACAATTTTTAGTTAGACCTCACAAGAAGCACAATTGAAAAGCAATTGACTATAGCAAACATTACCAAAATCAACTAATTAACAGTAGAACAATAGCATATATGAACTAATGCCAAAAACAGGTAAACACAATGCAATGGAACATGAATTTGAATTGTTAACCATGTTATTTTAACCTGAAGATAAATGCTCGAACACTCGTAACTATGGAGGCAAAATTAGAAACTCGCCATATTTAGAGCTTTGTCCTCGTAATCTGACTTGTTAATCTACATTAAAAAAGAAGCCACATTAGAAAAGGGAGACAATTGATAGGATAAAAAACTAATGACAAAAATATTCTGTAATAAATATTTATATCGTATAAAAGTGTTGTAATAAAGATTTTCTTGATTTGGCGTGGCCATATTAATGAACACCACCAGTGATCTATTACAGAATGTTCGCAAGGTAGTCATATTTTCCATGGGACTAAATGTTTTTCGGGCTTCTTCTATTCAAGTTGATAAAACTCTGGAAAAGAGAAGGATACCAATTTCAAACAGTATAGCTAGATGAAGCAACTTGTATTATGAAATCTTGAAGAGAGTACTTTGGTTCAGATAGAAGGAAGAAAAAGAACTCATATTCTAGATTTGAAATACTAGAAAGTGAAACAAAGAATCGAAATAATTGACAGAATATTCAAAAGAAGACAGCTTTCTCTGTGGATAAGGTTTCACTTCATTTCGATTTTCAAGGAATTTCCATTGAGGAGTCTGTTCGACTGGGATTGCCCTATGTAGATGACAAATTGATTGCAATGCTTAAATCTGATAATCATAAGTATGCTTATATATGTTAGTTCAAGAGAAACCCTCACCAGTGGCATAACAATAGTTATATTTCATTCCAAACTGCTAGATTAAGTTTGCTTATATATGTTAGTTCAAGATATCTTAACTAGTTGCTATTATTCATATATCCTAAAGCCATACAAATAGCAACCTCGGAATTCCAGTTTGACGACTGTGGATCCGAGTTAAAGATGTAAAGCCTTTTATGAATCCACCAATCGATTTATCGAAACTTAATGTCACAAGATCAATAAGTTGAGCATACTCAAAAAAATATCTGAATATTAAAATATGTGACGTGCCATAATAATAAAGAACGATCTTGCTTATGATTAGAATGATAGGGCTCTCATACCTACTACCATCCTCATGTCATCTACAAAAATCAAATAAAAATCAAGTAAACAAAATCAAATAAATATCATATGACAATTCTTCGGATAAAGTGGCCACTTTCCTCTCTAGTTCAGTTTTTTCATTTTCTACGGATTCAAATCAGCAATTTTCGCCTCATCATTATTTGTCAAAGCCTCTCTATACAAATTTAATGAAGCTACAACAGTTGAAGTAGGTTCCTCCACAACAGTATCACCATCAGATTCTACACCAACAGCACCAACTGCGTCTAATTTTAGACCCAACAAATGAAAAAAACCAGATGTGAAATCTGACCCAACAAAACTAATATAGAACAACAAGCAAATACGATAAAGAATATAGCAAGCAAAGAACCAGAGGAAACTTGATTGAACCGCCCGTAGAAACCCGCAGATTTGGCAAAAGAAAATTTCAATTGTGATTTTGTGAGAGATGAAAGTATTATCCGAGAGGAAGAGAGAGGATAAGTGTGAGAAATTCTCATTTCCAGTTTTTGTGTTTTGGCTTCAGTTTTTACAAAACGGGCTTTTGCACGTTTTGTGTTTTTAGTGTATTTTTTTTTATTTTCAAAAAGTATTTTTAAAAATAGGAAATAGAACGCGTTTTCACTATTTTGAAGAATAAAAAATAGAAAATAGCTTGAAAACGATAAAGAGAGTAGACCCTTAGAGTTTGAAATTGTGTAGAATTGATTTAAATAAAACTTAATTTAAAAATGATTAATTAAAACAGCGGGGATAGAGAAAGTTGAAAGAAAATGGGTCGGTAGGGAGAGAGAGAGGGGTGATAAAATGAAATAATTAGGGTTTGAAATTGTGTAGGCTTGATTTAAATAAAAATTAATTTAAAAACCATTAATTAAAATCTGATTTATGTATTATTAAAGTTGATTCTTAAAAGGATTAAACTAGATGTACTCCATGGTTTACTCCATGGAGTACTTGTAGCATCCTCCTTCTTAAAAACCTGTGAGGCTGTAATTGTCTCTTTACTTTTTCTCCAATCAGGGGCGGATCGAGGCACGGGCTTGCCCGGACTACATGTCGTGATCGCCCAAGCCAAGATCCACTACTTTCCTTTTTTTGGTTTAGCCCACTAAGGTCAGCCGGCCCAGCCCGTGTCCAATATAAAGAAAAAAAAAAAAAAATGAAGAATGAAGAGTCCATTCCATTCCATTCCGCAAAAGATTCGGCTTCGGCATTTCGGGTATTATCAACTCCCCAAATAATCGATCCCACAATTTCCATTTCGAAAATCCTAGCACCTCATTCGATTTATCATCTGGTAAGTATTCTGAATCCCTGATCTGTTGAGTTTTATTGTAATTTATTTTTCAATTCAATTCCTTCATTTTTTGTCAATACTTTCGATTTGATATATTCTGGTAATCTGGGAGTCCCAGTTTTCGCCATGTCTATGTCGGTCTCTCTCTCTCTGTAGATTGACTTCTCCTATTTTCGATTTTTCTTCCTGCCCAATATTATGTCTATGTTTTCAATCATTTTTTTCCTCGTCTTCGATTATCAGTAGCTTTGTTTTAAAATGTTTGAACTCTGCCATTGAATCTTTTTCATATACTGCAAAGTTTTGTATTTCTACCATTGCTCTGAAAGGTATTTTAGTATTTACTTCAATTAATCTGCTTCATCAATGCAAATGCAAATGCTTGTGCTTATCAGCTTATGTACGCTTACATACTCTGGGCTTTTTGAAAGAGCTATGGGTTTTAAGGGAAGCAGATTTTGGTTATGCTTATTTAATTGATGAACTTCTTGAAATTGAAATGGAAAAAAGATCATTTTTTTCATGTTATATCACTATAATATAAAGGATAAGTCTAGTTGTACATAATTTTTATCCATAATTGTTCACATAACAATCACATTGGGTGGGGCCGTCAAAATATGGGCCCCACCCATGTGAGTGTTACGTGAACCCCTATGAATAAAAATTATGTACCCATAGCATTTCTCAAATATTAAAGAGCCAAATGAAAAGTGTTCACAAGACACGTGTCAACATTTCTAATCATCAACATCCAATTATTTTTTTCCCTTTAAATTTAAATTGCCCTAATTTAGGTTTATATATAAGAACGCCAAACTTCCTCTACACTCGTAACCCTTTACTTCTCTTTCAAATTTTGTATTATAATTTTGTTATTATTATTGTTATATGTATTATTTTGATTACTTGGGAAGAAATTGAAATGTGAAAATCTTGATAGCTTTTACTATCTTGGGATTCAATGCAGAAACAGAACATCAAGATTTTTGTGTAAACCTCAAGGAAGAGATGGGTTCATCGTTTCAAGGCCTAAATAGAACAGGAAAAATGGTGTACAGAGACATTCTGAAAGCAGTGAGGAAACACATAGGAAAAGAAGAGTATAAATCCCATTTCACTGATTTCATCAAGCAAGAATTCAGGAATAATATCAATTCGGAGAACCCACAAAAATTGAAGCTTGCCTATGATTACGCAGTCTATCTCAACAGTGTCCATCACCACAAGGTATTATTGTACTACTATACAATTTTTTGAGGATATCGGTTTGCCTTCTGTAATGATTGATTAATTCTTCAATCAAAACCAAACAATTCCAACATATCACAATGAAATTCAATTCACAACTCACAGAATTCAGTTGTAATTCAACACCCAAACTATAATGATATTTCACTATAATTGATTAAATGAAATACAAATGATCAGAATAAGAGGGCGAGAGAATTTCAGAGAAGATGAAGAAGGGAAACGAGTTCTGACATTCAACCACCTCACCCATTTACTCTTATGGCTTAAATAATAGTCTTATGGCTTAAGTAGTACAGAAAGCGTGTTTGGAGTTTATAAAATGTGATGTGTTAAAACAATTAAATGAAAAAAACTAAACGGCGTCGTTTCCGAATTCGAATTTCTGGTAATGTCGTTTCGACCTTTTCTTCTTCCTTTCCCATGAATTTCCTTCCCACATTTGATTATGACAATCCTCCTCCTCAAATTGACCTGGTCCCCAAGGTTGGAAGTCAATGAATTGTATCTGAATTGTTGTAGCATCTTCCCACCTCGCATTTTCCTTGGAAGCATTCACCCAATGTACTAACCATTGAGTGATAGCCTGATTATCTCGTTTAATGATATGGGTCCGTAAAACTGTTTGAGGTATGCCATGTTGGTGTTTTGATATGCCGACATTAGGAATGAGCAAAATAGATACTTCTCTGTCATCTATCTTTTTCTTAAGCAGTGAGACGTGGAAAATATGGTGGATTTTAGAACCAGTAGAAAGCACTAATTCATAAGCCACCTGTCCAACTCTTCTGATAATTTGATAAGGCCCATAGTATTTGGCGGACAATTTGGGGTTGACCCGTGTAGCTATGGATTGTTGTTTACATGGTTGGAGTTTCAGATACACCCAGTCTCCCATTTGGAATTCTCTTTCAATTCTATGCTGATCGGCGTAAAATTTCATCATTGCCCTGGCTTCAGTCAAGTGTTCTTTGAGTAATTGGTCCATACAGCTCTCTTGCACCAATTCATCTACGGTTGCAATGTTAGTAAGTTGACAAGGTCCTAGGGCCAGCTGTGGTGGCTTGATTCCATATATGGCTTCAAAAGGGAACATCTTGATGGTTGCGTGATAATTGGTGTTATACCACCACTCAGCCAATGACAGGCAGTGAGTCTACTGTTTAGGTTGGTGAAAGGTCATGCATCGCAAGTACATCTTCAAACTCTGATTGAGTCTCTCTGTCTCACCATTTGTCTGGGGATGATGTGGGGAACTTAAGTGCAGTTCGGTCCCCAATAATTTGAACAACCCTTGCCAAAACTTATTGGTGAATATCTTGTCTCTATTTGATACCATACTTTGAGGCATCCCATTTAACTTGTAAATGTTATCTAAGAATAGTTTGGCTATTGTGGAAGATGTGAAGGGGTGGGCCAAGGCAAAGAAATGCCCGAACTTCGTGAATTTGTGTACTACAACCAGAATTACTGTCTTACCCTTGGAGGGAGGTAGTCCTTCAATAAAATCCATGGAGATATGACTCTAAGAGTATTGCGGGACAGGGGGATGTTGCAATAAACCCGAGTAGGGAGTATGTTCCCCTTTACATTTTTGCCAAACATCACACTGTAACACCTAACTTTTAATATCCCTAAACATGCCAGGCCAAAAGAAATGTTGCTTGGCTCTATAGATACTGGCTTGTATGCTTGAATGGCCACCATTTTGAGAAGAATGAATATTTTGTATCAGCTTAGCTCTAATCTGTCCGCCTGAGCCAACATACATCCTTCCTTTGTACCGGAGTAACCTATTTTTGTAAGAGTAGTCAGATACCAAAGAAATGTTGCTTCGCTCTATAGACATTGGCTTGTACGCTTGAATGGCAACCATTTTGAGAAGAATGAATATTTTGTATCAGCTTGGCTCTAATTTGTTTGCCTGAACCAACATACATCCTTCCTTTGTATCGAAGTAACCTATTTTTGTAAGAGTAGTCAGATACCTCTCCAGGCTTGATTAGGTGTTCTTTGGTTAGCCATGTCGTCTCTCTGGTAAATATCTATCACTTCTTGCACCCAAGTGGGAATAATCTGGGATTTAGCGATAACATCTGCTCCTGCCTCCTCCCTTCGTAATAAAGCATTTGCAACAATATTCTCATTCCCCTTTTTATACTGGATTTCATAGTTGAGCCCAACAAGTTTGGTCAGCCATTTTTGTTGGAGAGGAGTGGTGATTCTCTGCTCAAGGAGGTCTTTCAATTACTGATGATATATCTTAATTATGAAGTGGTGCCCTTCTAGATAAAGCCTCCATTTCCCTATTGATGTGACCGATGCTAGCAACTCTTTTTCATAGATAGATAGCCCTAGTTTCTCCATGTTTATACCCTTACTCATATAGGCAATTAGTCTCTTCCTTTGCATCAGCACTGCTCCCATTCCTCCAACACAGGCATCTGTCTCGACGATGAATGGCTGATTAAAGACCGGTAATGCAAGGACTGGTGTACTGCACATGGCTGTTTTCAATGCTTGAAAGGCTACCTCAGCATCGTCATTCCAACTGAAGTTATCCCTTTTAAGGAGATCCGTTAGGGGTTTAGCCAGAACCCCCGTACCCTTTGACAAATTTTCTGTAATAGCCCGTTAGACCAAGGAAACCTCTTAACTGTATCACAGTGTTGGGCCGCATAGCATTAACCTTCTGTGGGTCAGCTGATACCCCTGCAACTAATATGATATGTCCCAGATATTCTACTGTGGGTTGTCCAAAAGAACGTTTAGTTTCCTTGGCATACAATTTTTGTTTCCTCAATATTTCTAATACAATAGACAGATGTTTGCAATGGGAATTTAGATCAGGATTATATACTAAAATATTATCGAAGAATACCAGAACAAATTTCCTCAAATAAGCTCTGAAAATCTCATTCATCAAGCCTTGAAAAGTTGCTGGGGCATTGGTAAGGCCAAATGGCATTACCTTAAATTCATATAGTCCTTGGTGCATTTTGAATGCTATTTTGTGGATATCAGTCTCTTACCATTCGAATTTGCTAATATCTAGCCCTCAAAATCTATATTGGAAAACCACTTAGAGCTATGAAGCTCGTCAATTCGCTCATCCATTAATGGCATGAGATATTTGTCCTTGATAGTTAAATTGTTCAGTTATTTGTAATCCACACAGAATCTCCAAGTGCTATCTTTTTTCTTAACCAAGAGGACAGACGAGGTAAAAGAAATGTTGCTTTGTTGTATAATCCCTACCTCCAATATCTCTTTCACCATCCTCTCTAGTTCGGCCTTCTGCACGTAAGGGCATGAATATGGCGTTATTTTAAAAGATTGTGCTCCTTCTTTCAAGGGAATTCTGTGATCATTAAATCTGGGAGGGGGTATTCCTTTTGGTCCTACAAACACGCCTGGGTATTGTTTGAGGATAGTCTGTACTCTTGTAGGTATTTGAGTGTTTTCTCCTTCGATTGCTTGAAGTTGAGCTATAATTCCATAAGGTTGCCTGCGAATCCACTGATTCATCTGCCTTCCTTCCATCATCAGAAGTTTTTCATTTATGAGCAACTCCACTTACATCCTTTGGTAAGAGAGTTTTGATGCTACCTCGTTGGAAATCAAACACCACGGGATTGAACTGGCTAAGCGATTCTACCCTCAACACTATATCACTTCTCCCTTACCTCAACACCCGCCGTTGGAATTGACATTCCATCCCATCCCTTGCATGACCCAAGTAAGGGGATTACAGATGGCAGTGCTCTGTAACTTGTCTCCATTGGCTACAGTAACTGTTATAGATTGAGTTAGTTCTGTTTTACACTTCAACTCTCTAACTTCTCATCAAGAAAGCTATGGGTGTTGCCACTATCAATGAGAATTGACACCTTTCTTCTCTTTACTTGGCCTGGGATTCTTATGGTTTTTGGTTTCAGACTGCCTAATAGGGCATTAATGGAGATTTCCATAATTTCTTCATCCCCTTCCCCTTCACTTTGCTTAGAAGTTTTCTCGTCTTCTTCATATTTCCTTTCTACTTCGTCATCCACCAACATGAAGTTTAACATTTTGTTTTTATATACATGTCCAGGAGTATATTTTTCATCACATCTGAAACATAATCCCAGGTTCCTCTTGGTTTGTATATCCATGGGAGTGATTGTTTTGAATCTCAAGGGGTTGGTTTGGGTTCTTTGAGGTTGTTCAGTGCCATTGGTGGTAGGATTTTTTTGGTTGGTTTCGGTAGGTTTTTGTAGTAGGTTAGGCCATTTAGAGGGATAGCCGAGTTTGGTTAAGTTTTTGGAGGTTTTGTTAAAGGCTAGTATAGTGTTTTCTTGTAAAAGGGCTATTTCAAGGGCTTGAGAGATGGATGTGGGCTTGATAATTTTCATCATAGATCTGATTTCCTTCCTCAATCCACTAGTAAAGATGGAGACATAATATGATTCAGGAAGGTAGGGAAGGGACATCATCACCTGGGACTTGAAATCCTCAAAGAGTCCTTGATATTCAGCCACTCTCCCTCTCTTCCTGAGCTTGCTAAAGGTTTCTATAGCTTCTTCCCCAGTAACTTCTGCGAATCTTCTGCACACTTCTTTGGAGAATAAATCCCAATCAGTGTTGGGGTTGCTACTGATGAAGCCATGGAACCACACATTAGCTTTTCTCTTTATATACATTTCAGCAACACCGATCCTCACTTAATCAGGAATTTGATGAATTTGGAAGTATTTTCGAGCCTTCATCAACCATTGTCTAGGTCCCTCTCCATTAAAATAAGGGAAATCCATCTTAGGTAGTTTAACGCCTCCTCTCATCCTACTACCATTGGTATTACTACCCGACGCGGATCCCAGGAGTAGTGTAACCTTTCACCATTGTAAATCTGAACTGGTTCTCTGCTTGTCCTTGGATTTTCCCTTTTGCCCCATCAATTGGGCCATCATGGCTACCAAGGATTTGTGCTTAGTATTTAGCTCTTCTATCTTCATTTCCATACGGTAGTGCTTATTACATAAGGTTTTTATGCCCTGTTTGGTACACATTATTTTTTTCATTCTCATTTTTTTATTTATTTTCAACTACACATTCTTCAATAAAATAATATTTTCCATCACAATAACTTTTCCTTCATTTTTAACCACACATTCTCCATCAATTTACTATTCAATAATACATTTTTTTCAAAAGAAAGTGTCTCAAACACACTCTTAATGTTTGGTCTGAGGTCTCCACCTTGTTACCTACTTCATGTAGTTTCACCCAGACCTTCAACTTCACTGTCCAACTTTTTTAGATGTTCCTCTACTACTTTAGCTCGAGTATCCATACCCAGATTCGTAGCTGCTCTGATACTACTTATAATGATTGATTAATTCGTCAATCAAAACCAAACAATTCCAACAAATCACAATTAAATTCAATTCACAATTCATAGAATTCAGCTGTAATTCAACACCCAAACTGTAATGATATTTCATTGAATTGATTAAATGAAATACAAATGAACAGAATAGAGGGAGAGAGAATTTCAGAGAAGATGGAGAAGGGAAACGAGTTCTGACATTCAACCACCTCACCCCTTTACTCGTATGGCTTAAGCAATACAGAAAGCGTATTTGTAGTTCATAAAACGTGATGTGTTAAAACAATTAAATGAAAAAAAGCTAATCGGCGTCGTTTCTGGATTCGAATTTTTGGTAATGCCGTTGAGACCTTTTCTTCTTCATTCCCCATGAATTTCCTTCCCGCGTCTGATTATGACACCTTAACATCTTGATGCTGCATTTTTATATCTGTAGAAAATTGATAGATGATTGTGGAGATCTGAGTTCTATTTAAATGTTACGAAATAAGATTTAATAAAGTAGTTGCAGTGAGCTATGTCCACAATTTCAAGCATATAGTATGGTGCATAGTGTTGTATGTTATGCTTGTAGTGATAAAAACGCTTCTATCATCAATCAACAAACACAAAGTTAACTATGCAATAGATAATGGAAATAATCAAAGTAAATCAAGAATCAAACTTATCTATCAAAGCTCCAAATAATTGGCACCAAAAGTGGATGGATCGAAGCTTAGATCAAGAACCAAAACCACACGGCAACACCGCACAAATTGGACCAAGATTACCCACTCAAAATGGACCACGAAGGATACCCAAAACCCGGCTGAGCTTGTGCACGGAGGCACAAAATACGGGGCAAAACGGGACAACAAACAGAGGGTAAAATTGAAGGATTATTGAAGACAGAGGAGGGAAAGATATATATTTCATACACAACACAAATGGATATTCTGATATATATCCTTACTTAGGTACAATTCAAAACCATTTTCTACCCACCATTCTACCAACCTCCACTCCTACCATACTTGGCTGAATACAAGACAGGAGAAAAGACCAACTTGCTTAAGTTACACTTCATTTCATATACTACACTTGAGTACAAAAATACATAAGACAAGTTAAACAAAAAATAATCAAAAGGTGACAACAAAGTGTCACAAGGTTCATCACTCCTCCTTGATATATTTGTTGGAAATACCAAGACATTCTCTTAATGTTTCGAACCTCTCCTTAGGCAATGCTTTGGTGAAAATATCAGCAACTTGTTCTTCAGAACTGCAGTGCTTCAATTCTATCTCATTCCTTTCTTGAGCTTCTTTAATGAAGTGGTACTTGCTTCTTTATGTGCTTTGTCTTCCCATGTAACACTGGATTCTTCACCGTAGCCACAGTAGATTGATTGTCACAAAGGATGATTGTTGCATTAGGTTGTTGATACCTCAAATCCTTCATCATTTTCCTCAACCAAATGACTTGATTTGTTGCCTCAGATGGTGCTATATATTCTGCTTCAGCAGTTGATTGTGCAACTGTTTTTTGCTTAATAAAATTCCATCAAACAAGTCTTGAACCAGCATAGGAAGCATAGTCTGAAGTGCTCTTCATGTCATCAACAGATCTAGCCCAATCACTATCGGCAGAAGAACCACTTGAAGTCATATCACTCACTCACCTGAAACACTTGGATATATATGAAGGTTGCTCACTAGTTTTCTCTCAGGGCTGCTGATAAAATGTAGTTCTTACTAGTTTTTGAAGATCTTACTGGATTTAATAAATCTTACCAGCTGATACACTGCTTACCGGATTTGGAAGCTCCTAACGTATTTGCCCAAACTTATCGATTTTGTTCAAACTTACCGGTTTTTATAAAAGCTTACTGGATTGTGCAAATACTCACCGGATTTTGCAGTTCTTCAGCTCTTCTACGACCCTTCTAAGATCAAAATAATGCTCTGATACCACTGAAGGGTTTTTGAAGACAAAGATGAGAGAAAGATATATATTTCATACACAAAACAAATGGATATACACGGCTGAAATATATCCTTACTTAGGTACAATTTAAAACCATTTTCTACCAACCATTCTACCAACCTCCACTCCTATCACACTTGACTGAATACAAGACAGGAGAAAAGACCAACTTGCTTAAGTTACACTTCATGTCATAGACTACACTTGAGTACAAAAATACATAAGACAAGTTAAACAAAAAATAATCAAAAGGTGACAACAGAAGTGTCACATGGTTCATCAAAAATGCACGAACAGGTGTACAAAATCAGTGCACAAATCACCGGTAAAGAGCCGGCAGGAGGAGCAGCAAAGGAGGCAGCCACAAAGGTGAAAGACACAAGGTAGTTACTAGGTACAAAACCAAAGAGAAAGAGGCACAGTCGAGAGGTCTCAAGAATAGCCAAGAAAGTGTAATGTGTTGTGTCAAAACCCAAAGGACACACCTATATATATCTAATAATAATAGGTCAAGTAATGGGTTGAGCCTGTTGAGTGGTCTTGGTCCTTCTTTGTAACTTGGGCTACCAAGTGTGATTTTTGATCCAATAGCACTTAAGTGCATTCAATTATAAGTTTCCAGTGAAACTAATTGAATAAATTCTCAAAATTTGAAAGTAAACGTGCTTTTCATTTTTATGTTTTCGGAAACAGTTTTTCACATTGGCAAAAAGAACGTATTTTCAGAACTTTCAAAATAGCCACTCAAAGCACAGAATGAATTCAAAACTTAAAACACAAAACTGAAATAAGAAGATAAGGACGCCTTTATTTTCATTTCTAAACTTTCCAAATCCCTACCCTCACCCCCCCCCCCCCCTCCCCCCCCCCCCCCCCCCCGAAGTTTATTTGGTATCAAAATACCCAATAGGATCATCGAGTTCCTATTGATACACCCCATGCTTAATTTACTTCCTTGATTAGTATGACTAATGCTCTAGCATTATCATTTCCAAGAAAATATGTCAGGCTAAGCCTCTCTCTGATCAACTTTGATATGTACCTATGCATATTTTAATACATGCAAATACCAAAGAATATGGCCCTAGTTTTAGAATATGGTATACAAGATTTGATGCACTCGTGTGCTGTATTGATTCATGCTTTTATCTTCCATTAACTGGTTTTCTTTTCATCTCTTTGCTACAATATTTATCTATCCATATGCGTGTTAGAGATTGGTAACATTTCTAAATTAAAGCACACTTTTTGTGTGCTTTTTTTTATGCATAACTACTGCACTGGGAAGTTTTGGGTCATGCATTAATGTTTCTAGATTACTGTGGTGGCAAGAAGCTAGCTTTGCAACTGGATGGGATTATGCACCCCCCAACCACCCAAGCACACAACATGTGCACAACGAAAAATAGCATGTAAACTAAAATTCCCCTGTGAATTGTCAATGAATGCTGAAATGCTCTTCAAGATAATTCTTACCGCCACAATGATATTTTGCCACAATTAATTGTTTGCAGCTTCTCTCTTATCTATTCTTTAGTAACCAATAACCATGTTATTGTTCAAATCCACTGGCTTTAATGCAACCTTTGGTTATTACTAGTGAAGAAAATGTTACTTCTGTTGTATGTTTTTTGTGTCTCTTTGATTCACAGAATATTTTCTTCTTTGACCGAAAAGTTCAGTCATTGCAACACTGGACTTCCCACGTGGTTCTTTCTTTATCAAGATTTCTAGATTCATCATTTTCAGGAATCTTGACCCATCTGTTTTGTGCCCATTTAAATATTTTGGTCTCCCTCTTTTGTATAACGGGCTAATTTTCTAAAGGAAGTTTGATGTTTGTTTCTTAAAATTATCTGCTGTGCAGATATTAAATTCTTAGTGCTTTTGTTATTCATCAAAAAATATTTTATGTGAAGTTCAAACTGAACTGTTAAAGACCTCGGAAAGATACTACATTATGGACTGAGATACATTGTTTTAATGGAATGGGGTGGGTTGGGTAGCCCACAGGGCCATCCACTCAGGCAAAATTCTGGCTCCGCCATTGATTTTTGCTTTCCAAGAAGGGTCCTCAATCTGTGCCGAATATTTTCATTTATACTTGGTACTTGCACATACGTGTCCCGCATTTGATTTTGTGGGAAAATATTGCCCAATCAACGTACAATGTTTAATGCACAATGTAAACATATGTATGGATTTCATTCTCTTGTGTTATGTCTCTTAAAATCGATGACCACTATTTTCTGTCTCTTGGACTGACTTTTAAATCAATTTACTTGATTTCAAATGTTTAATTGTTATCCTTTGTTTGGAAATATGCGGATTTGGGAACATTTATCTAGAATAAACAGTTTTACTGAACTTAAAATGTTAGCACCGCTCATAAAATTTTCTGAATTGCGATACTGGAAGCTAGTTATGTTTCAAAATTTGATTTTGTGTCATGGTGGTCATGCAGGATCTACTGTTTTCGTACAACATTGCAGTGGATAGATCTGATGAGATGAAAAGAACACTAGGAAAATCTGCTGCAAGTGTGGGTCTCCAGCTTCCCGATGTCTATCAGTCTTGATAATTGGTAATTTATCGTCTTCTTGCTCTATTAGATAATTCTTTTATTTGATCATCAAGCATAAACATATGAAGCTGGTTCAATACTAAATAAAAGTTTCTGCTTGGAGAAAAGAATATAATTTTCGTTAAGATTCATTATCTTTTTGGGAGGAACGTGTGGTGTGAACTATGTTAACTTTCGTCAAAACAACTGTGTACTTTACCATGTGCCTCCAGTCACAGCCAAATTTGTAAAAGGCTGATGGAAAGAGGCTCCTCGTATCTCATGATGTGCAAATTGCTTGTTAGTTGTTTCCCAATTACATGATTAAGTTGGCAAGACTTCCAAAGCCAGTGGGGATGCAGGGCTGCACCGTTAGCTTACATCTGTTATGAAGCGAACAAGCTACCTGATTGAAACTTTGGTCCGTTATTTTCTCAATTTCGATCTTGCTCATGATTGTGTACACAAAAGCTCTTTGTTATGTTAATCTGCGACTTATATACCCATTTTTGGCATTTGTATACTGCTACACTGTGTGTACATAAATGTGAAAAGCATTTACTTCAGAGGACACACAAATATGGAGAAATACCTAATATACAATTAGCTAAAATTCATGGAGTGCAGATGAATTTTTGTACTGAATCTTGACTTTGCAAATAAATTTTCTGAATAATGTTCCATTTCTACTCTATCAATCTTCGGCGAGTTCGAACTTATTGGATGTTCACGAGTTATTTCTTTATTGTTTCTGGCGTCAATATAGTATCTAATAGATCATAGGCTAAAAGCAGTGACTGATGTGATTACATGCATAAGAAGCAACCTTTGACTCGATGTGACAAATTCTCATTGCTTCCATGTCTTGTAGTTCGTTGGCCAAAAGCATAATGCTTGGGAGAAAGAACCAACACTTGATCTCTAGAATTTTTTGTGCTCACAATTAGAGGTGTAAACCTTGGTTGTCCAGTAGTTATAACTCCATATCCAGCAATCGAAATTTAGAAGAAATAAAAGGACACAGCAATCAGCTGATCATAAATATGCTTAGATGTTGGGGTTATTGATCTTCAACAATAGCAAAATTTTCATTCCAAAAGCAAAAGAGCATTGATACATCATTATACAGCACCAAAGAAAAATTTGCTGGCTATTAAACCACCAAACCACCGTTCCCCCTCCTAGCAGCATTGTCCTTCTCCTAACCTTGTGTGGTTTTTAGCAATTATAAGTAGGCCAACGAAATTCTCTACTCGTCCAGCAGAAATACCACTTTATTCTTCTTGACAAAGTCGTGGATAGTATGATCTACGACCTGCACATAAAGCCAAAAGGAAAAATTAAACCATGATTTAGGGACATTTTCATATAGCAAAAAGAACATATGCATGTTGAGCCATTAAACCATATAACTAATAAGCTCCATAGAGGATTTTTGGCTAATTAAGTGCATATAAAATCGTTAATCTTATTCAATGGTCATTATTTAGTACTGCACCAATCCATAATAAGGAAAAGGCATTTTTGAACGTACGTATACACTATATTTTAAAATATTCTTTATTCTGTAAAAGACTTCAAGAGAATGGCAATTTCACTCAATCCAAACTTATTCACCCAAAATAGAAACCAACTCAAAGTTAGAATCGTCCTCGGTAACTTGCTAGTCAGATGATGCAGCAATATTTTTGGATGTTTATTGGGATGTAGAGCTTTGTATTACTAACGGTTATTCAGAAAGGATGACTTTTTCAAAAGCCATTGTTTGATATCAGAACACACTTTAAACTTGGGTAATTTCTGTATATGCTTATGTTATACCATAAAGACCCCCCACAGATGAGCATATCAGGAAATTATGAATGACTGCCAGCACCCAGCATTGATCGTGCTACTATCACTGGAATTTCCAATGTCGCCTAAACTATTTCAGTGAAGTCCCGAAATTTTCTTAGAATTAAATTAATTATCCTATACGCTTTAAATTAATTTTGGAAAGTTGCAGACTAAAGTGTATATATATTAAATTTATTTTTATATGGGTCAAATATTTAGATATGATCGTAACTAATCATGCATATTAAGCTCGAGAAAAAATTAATTCGGACAAGTGAGACCTAAGTTATCGATGTCGAAAGATATCGTCTTAAATTGTTATTTAATTAAATTAATTAATGAGTTAGAATACAAGGGGGACACGTATAGAGTAAGTTTATTGTTAAGTTATTAATTGGTTTTTATTAAATAAGGATTTTGTATTAAAAAAAAAAAAAAAGAATTGTGAGGCAGCCACGTGTGTAGGAGTCGTTGAAAATGTATCAATTAGTTTTATTTTAATACTATTTAATTGCCTTGATTTTGGGAATTGGTAATGATAGCCTACCACGTTTGATGGATGGGAAAGGAAGTGATTTTTAACTGTATCGATTGCCGGGATATATTAATGTGGCAGCAAGTAGAAATTAAAGATTTAGGAACATAAAATTCTTGTATTTTCTTCCAACCGTCCTTTTTATCAATCAAGGTAGGATAATGAGGTGCAGTTGATGTTATCCTGTTTAATTTATTTTTTTCATGTTGATGAATTATTATACTTATGAAAGTTAAAGATATGATATGGCCATCCGGTACCAACTATATGATATGTATTGAACTCTTACCGAGTTTTAAAGATATGATGACAGTATGATTTTTTTTTTACGCATGATCTAAATATTTATTCGTGATTGTACCATAATTTTCGTGTCTTACCGAGTATTCCCATGTACTAATCATTTTCCCCCTACTCTTCACATGTTAGAATGGGTCGTTGATTGGTGGGCGATGAAGTGTTGTCGTGGAGTCATGATTTATGGAAATAAATAAATAATCTAGTGTACGTGACTATGGATTTATTTTTTTAGCATTATTTTGGTTTATTTATCACATAGATCTTGTTATTTGGAACGTATTTTATTTGGATATGTTTCCTACATGTTTTTATTTATTGTTGGTAGAACTAGAATTTTCAAGTTGAGTTGTTTGACATGTTTATTTAATTACTGAATTCAATGTTTAGTAATGATTTAAACTTTTAAAAAAAAATTGGTACAATTTTTGTTGCTTTTATAGTTTTGAAAATAACACAATGAATCAGATGTCCATATTCACTCATCATACTACAGTTTTGGGTTTCAGTTCATCCACAAATATATCAAAATTTTTAGTATTTCATTTATTTTCTTGAAAGAACCCTAAAATGTTGGGACTATAATTTCCCACCTTTTCGTATCACTTCAGCAAGAAATGGATACGTCGAATTGAAAAGCACTGAAAGTTCCAAACTCTAATTATATTTGGAAGGCCTAAATCATGTAGTAGGGATTGCATACAAGGAGGAATATTAATTGCAATTATCCAGAAACAAAAAAAAAAAAAAACCTGATAGTAGTTCAGTATAGAGATCAAAAACAAAATTCAAAAGTATGCCACATTGTCAGTTGAAGTCATAAGCAAGTCAAGTCAACAATGATACAATCGATTTTCAACAAACTGCTCAAACAGTATTGGAAGGTATAAGGAGAATTGAAAATATCAGGATTTCCAGATTTAGCACCATATAATGATATGGTGAAGAAACTTCCTCAATCATACGATGTAGTATCAGGGGAGAAAAAAAAACTAGTAAAGGATTTAGTCAAAAAGGTCTAGCGACCAAAGGTTTATCATGTGTATTGTGTACAATTTTCTGAAATTTCATTACCAAATTAAGCAACAGTACATACATGCACAATGGAACTGAAAACATATTTAAATATACTGGATTGGAAAAGAAAAGAAATACTCACATTTGTGTTGCTAAGTTCCAGATTGTAGAAGTCCATTGTTTTTTTAGTGAACAACGGCCCAGCATGCCATGTACCCTCTTCAGCTTCAAGAATTTTGGTCCTGAAATTCTAAAAGCATGTATATCATCAACAGCTAGAGGAACATAAAAATGCCCACAATGAGATTGCACCACGTCTGCACCAGTGGTGCCCTTCATTTCAGTTGGATCAACAATAGATGGCTTTCCAACTCCAAGATAACAAACATGGCCGCCAATTGAACCAAGGCATTGCGTCACACTAGCATGATGTGTTATTTCTGAAAACTTGAGAGCCCTATCTTCAAGATGCATAATGTAAAACCTAATAACATGGATATAAACATGAAGGTTTAATTTATTCGGAGATATAGGTATATTAATATATACAAGAAAATCAAACAGACTATCAACTTTTCACTCCACTTTTTCCCCTGTAACATGACTTTACATGATGCTGTTAACAAAAAAAACAAAGCCACCTTTCTATTCTGATAACTACTACATAATACTACTGTTACAATATCATCAATTCCAAAACTCCTGTCATCACCAGAAAACCTTTTAACTAATTTCAAAAAACGAACCAAACGATAAAATGACATCAAGAGACCCAGAAATGTTGTGTAAATTTTTTGTTCTAGATTTCAAAATGGGGGATGAGACAAAGTACCAGGTGCCATCTCACTTCTCTGTAGTCAGTGATTTATAACCATTACTAGACATGGAGTGAGAGATTATGGTACTTGTTTTTCATTTTTTCTGCATATGGAGAAGTTTGTAAGCCACTCCTAAGCACGAGGACATTACCAGATTTTCAATTTCTAATCCTTCCTAGAAATTATGTAAAGCATTCCATAAATAAGTGAATAAATGTTCAATGAGATTCACGGACATATTGCAAGGCATGTTGACGTTCTACAGACGAGAAAAGAAGTATCATAGTTAGTTACTATATTTTTCTATTCTTCTATTTTTTTTATTTTTTTGGTAATTAAGGTGCTAAAAGAATATGCAAGAGGTTGGAGGCTCGTTCAGACATATGGCCATGGCATGTAATGCTTTAAAAACAAACACAAATCCAGACATCAATTTCTAGAATCTTTTGTTAAAGAGACTTTGGAGGATAACATTACATGTGGGTCCTATCAACAGCCATAAAACTTCAGTAACTAACCTTTATTACCAAATAATTTTGGTTGGCTACACGAGTCATTTCTCACCACCGTCCTTGGTTCATTATCAATATTTAGGACTTCAAATGACAAGTCAACACTCGAAGCATCATACTCTTTTCTTCAAGCCACAATTACCACAGAAAAAAAGACGAAGAAGAATAGAACAAAAGAAAAGAATTGATATAAAGAAAGGACAAAGAGAAATGAAAGATGGACCGCAAAGAAGATAACTGAGTCTTAAAGTCACCTTGATGTTTACAGATATAATATGTATAGGTGCATATTACCCTCAAGGATTATGCTATTTGTCCAGAAAAAGACATCGAGAAATTATGCCAAGAAATTGATGAGTATTGAAATGATTAGATGAAAAAGTTGACTGAGTTTTAAACAGTCTAATGATAAAGTGTCATATGACATTATGTAACCCATTATGTAACACTTGATGTACGTGTAACAATCCATACCCTCAATGTTTACAGTAAAAACAAATTAGATATTATTGAAACATACAATCCCACTGCTTAAAATATAATAACCTACTCAAACAGTAACAAGCTGTATGTCACAATCTATTTCACATAGCTCCAGATAGAACATAAAGATGTGTTTGCCTCAAGTATCTACCCGTGTACAGGTAGACATGTCTATGTAAATATTCAAGTATCTTTAGTCAAATAACGGTATTATTGGATTAAAAAGCATACCTTCAGCTTTTGTATATTTGAAAAAAGAATATGCTACTTGTACATAATGTCGTGTCCATAACGGTGTCCACACCTTCACATGGAGGGGGACCCACTTTGGATATATTATATTTTATTCGAAGTAGGTCCTTCTCCATGTGAGGGGGTGGATACCGTTATGGACATCCCATTATGTACGTGTAGCATCACTCTCTGAAAAAATCTTGAATTGAGAATAGTTTCTTCTTGTCAGGATGGTCTTCCTTTGAAGGTCGCCCTAACTAAGGTAAAAGCTCAATTAACTCTGTCAATGACACAGTGGAGAGAGTCGATCTCAAACGCTCAACGTTGGACAATGGAATGCTAAGTAACCCATTAGCCAACCTTTGTGGCGAATTGCCTCCACTCTCTTCCTGAGTAACAGCAGAGCCAACTCCATCATCACTCACTTCCTTCACAGAAGGTATCACTCCTACAATACTCGATGGCATACCTCCCACTCGTGCAAACATCAAGTTCCCCAGAAATCCATTAACATCTGCTCTCTTACCTTCCAAAATATTAGCAAGAGCCCATAAATGATCAAACTGATTGGTGGCAGTCGGATTAGAAGATGCTGTGTCACGGCTCTTGCACTCGCTTTCTTGAGCTGACACATCAAACTTCAGCAAATTCTGACTCAACTGTTCAAACACAAATCCAATAAAGCACTTAAACGGAAACTCTTTCCCTTCTTTACACTTAGATTCCTTCTGCCGAAGTTCACCTACAACCCTGTCTTTCATACACGAATCATCAGAACAAACACCAACACCATTACTTGTCTTCTGAACCCTCTTTTTCCCATGGCTTTAAATGGGCTCGGAAACCCCTGAACAAAAGCATCAATCAAAGACGACCACGGCACTCCAAACTGCAAGCAATTTGTGCATGATACCTTTTCCACTTTCCCATCATTAGCATTCACATTCACATTCACATTCCATTCACATTCACATCGGCAATAATACTATTATTCTTATTATCATCATCAATACTACTTCCAAATTTTCCTGAAAATATTCCAACAAAGATTTTGATGGGTTCTCCTGTCTCTAGACCCCCTTTACCCTTCTCGTCGCAGTTAACCACAACGCATTGACCACTACTGTTACCACTCTTATTCTTCACATGCAACTGAGATGTCACCAGGTCAATATCAGCATTACAAGTATTGCCAATCAATTTTCCATTTTTGGAAACACCAGGAATATAATGCTCCAAATCTTTTGCCACCTTTCTGAAATTAGATTCAACGGGCGAAAAAGCATTCTTCACAACCTGAAGCGAGTTCAAAAACGACTCAACCGGGTTTCCCTGACACCACCATCACTCAAAACCCTAACCACTCGTACAAACTCGCAGATTTCAAATAACGAACTTACTAATCCACTAATTCTTAAAAACGAATTACGAAATAAATATTAATATAAGCAAACGCTACATACAATAAATAATTGTTAAGAAAATAATTGTTACAATAAGTAAAGATTAAGAAGTTAACTGAAATTAAAATGTGGTTTATCAAATAAAAATTGTATTGACAATATAACAACTCTTACATATATTGTGGTTGTTGCAATAATTAATACTTTTTCTGAAGGTAAATAATAAAATAATACTGTAGCACGTTTCCCGTTTGTTAGATCTAAGCAACATTTTTCATGTTACTTGACAATTGAGATCTCCAATGATTACATTGCAAATATTAAATTATAAAGATATTTGTATATTAATTCTAATAGAATATAAAATTAATTGATATTCAATTTATCTATTTTTATGTTTTAATAACATGAAGGTGTCATGTTTGGAAAATAAATAGTTTTTTTTTTTTGAATTTCGGGATAAATGGGAATGGATATGGCCAGTGTTTAAACTTAACTCATTTGAAATTATTTTTGTTTACAATCGACTCACTCCTCTTGGAGTCGGAACTTGTCATTTTCCTTTGATTTGGAACCCAAAAATATTGTATGTCCACCCAGACCACATCTCACATGGAATGGAATACTATCCATTTATGGGCGAATCAACGCCACCTTTTCACAAATAATCAAACTCGAAATTTTTCTGATTAACATAAATTCAACTATTGACAATAGATAGAGAATATATGTAACATCTCAAATTTTCATAAAAGTTGAGTGTTACCAAAAATTTACTTCTATTTACGTTAAATACAGAACGATAAATAAAAAAACTGTAATCTCCATAAATTCAAACTAAACATGAAAATTAAATCTTTAAGAAAATAACATAATCACTTATTCAATTAATTAAAATTTGATTGAAGTTTGTCCATTTGGATTGTACATTTAGGTTCTGCTCTTCTTATTATACTTTTTATCATTGCAATGATATCCTGACTCAGAAATTCAGTTTATAGACACAAAATAATTTTTTAATGTAAAATAAAGCTTCTCTAAATTGGTGACTACTATTTGTATTCCCATACTAAGAAGAATGAAGTTTCATTATCATAGTGGGCTTATTGTTCAGGTATTTCGATAAATAGGATTAGAACTATGTTGAGCTATTTGTTCCTTAAAACTGACGGTGTTTGGTGAAAATAAAATTAATTTGTGATTGAACTTCAGTGAAAGGATATTAATTTACCATTACCTTTTATTTATAAAGCACTTTTAAGATTGATACTCATCATGTTCCATAGGCATATGAGATGCGTAATGCTGGTGCCGTTATCCACAGTCATGGAATGGAATATTGCCTTGTAACGATGATCAACCCATTTCCATAGAATTTCGGGTACATATTGTTAACTCGGTTGTTCTATAGATAGTGTGGATAAAGTCAAATGTCATAGTCCTCTTATATGATCCTTTATGTCTCCTTCAAGGCTCTTCAATTATTAGTATATAAATGGACATATTTTCTTTTTGTTTCTTCTTGGGTGTATTTGAAGTTAGTTTTTAGATGATTACAAATTACAACCACGGATTATGTGTTGTACGGTGCTATAGAACAATTATAGGAGAAGGGGAATGGGAAGAGAAGAGAAGAGAAGAGAAGAAAGGAGGGGGAAAAGAGAGAAGATGGAAAGGATAGAGAGAAATTGGAGGAGAATATAAATTTATTTCATTACAAAACTTGTTTTATTACAAAGCATAAGATCCTTTTATATAAAGTTTCAATGATTTTATTCTAAGTAGGAAATATATAATAAAAACTATTAAATCAAATCTTAATTATGTTTCCTAAAATATGAGTCGAAATTGGAATTTCTAACATTCCATCGATGTGTTTACGAAGATATGAAATAATTTAAGAATAACATAGTAGAACATGTCAATGCTGCTCTACTCCCAGTTCTTTTATTTACTAACTATATAACTTTTTTCCTCTGGTTGCCAATGGCTGAGCAGGGTCACATTTGAAGAGATAAAGAAGTAGTCTCCCAAAGAAGTAAACCTGGAGTTGGAAATCATAATCAAGAGAGCAACGGGATAGGACTGAAGCTTGTTCATTAAACTCATACTAATGGCATATATTTTGTCTAAGAAAAATTTCGGCTTATATCATCACCCTTACAATTCAAACGAAGTCCCGAATGCTTCCGGGCTTCCCAACAATTTATTATTGGTGCCTAATAGATTGGATTTTTCGTAACTCTTTTGATGCATGCATTCTCTTCTATTTACCAAGCTTGTTATTTTTTGTGGATTAGTACCATTTCTTTCAAATACTTTACAAGACGATGCTGAAGTGTTAAAGCCTATATGGATCAAATTTTTGGCTATTGAAACATCTCCTTGATGCAATGATCGGAAAGGCCTAGCTTTTTATTCCTCACCTACCATTTTATCGACGAATAATTGATGATTTCCTTGCCAGAAAGATTTTTACAATATAAAACGAAAGGTTTCTGTAATTTGGTCTTTAAAGACTTCCGAAGACCATGTGTTGGAATATTAACCAACCATACAACATCAGTTAACCACACCAGCATGTCTCCAGTTCAAGCACCATCAGCATGTTTACCAGCACTCCAGTTCACCACCTGATCAGTTCGAATTCAGCACCTCTTCTTCCAGCTTCAGATTCTAGCATATTCTAGTATCTTCTTATGTTAGTTAGATTGTTAGATTTGTTAGATAATTGGTTAGTATTTTCTCTATAAATAGATTAGTTTACAATGTATTTTCCTTAAGCAAG